CACGGAGTTTTTTTTTTTTTTGCACATTTCTGTGTCTGATGTGGAGACGGGTTAAAATACTTCAACCGTAGCCCTGCGAGCAGCAGAAGGCGACGAAAATAGACCCCGGTGCCTGGATGTATAACTGGGCCACCCTGTCACTGGGGGACATAAATACAAGGACTTGACCCCCCAGGCTGGGAGCTCTTTTTTATTGCTAGTGGGGTGGGACTAAGTCCCTTGCACTGCGGCCACTTCTGGCCTATTGTACCAGCCCCAGATGATAGGTGAGGGTGATTGTGGAGCAATTGGTGGAATGAAGATTGGCAGGGGAAACCGAAGTACTCGGAGAAAACCTGCCCCAGCGCCACTTTGTCCACCACAAATCCCACTTGACCAGACCGGGGATCGAACCCGGGCCGCCGCGATAGGAAACCAACGACTAACCGCTTGAGCTATGGCGCGGCCAGGCTGGGAGCATGGTCAAATTCAGATAAGTTTGTTAGAATCTTCTAAGGAAGGTCGTGGCTCAAAAAATTACTTTATTGCTGCTGCTGCTGCTGCTGCTGATGATGGTGGTGGTGGTGGTGGTGATGGTGGTGGTGGTGGTGGTGGTGTACGTGTGTCATGCGTTGATCCCTTGAAAGAAACTGTATAAAGGTCGCTTTAATTCATAGAGTCTATAATATAAATGTTTGGAATAACGGATGTAAACAAGGAAAAACCTTAATAGTGTATTTAGGTATGTTTATTTTTTCTAAAAATATCTACGATTTCTGAACGTCTTTTTATTTAAACAGTCGTTTTTCCTTGCATCTAGTAAACTGCCCATACCAATTGGCAATCAGTACCCAAGGTGATGCCTTGTTATGACATTTTACTAATGGCCTCCGGTGCAAAATGAAAACCAAGTTCGTTTTCCTTAAAGTTAGCAAATTGCCTATGCTAATTAATAAATGGTATGCAAATGCATATCATGTGGCGAATTTACAATAAGAACGTCCTGTAGAAATGGAGTCATCTTTCGTTTTACTTAGCTCTAACAAACTGTCCGTGCAGAATGTTAAATAGTACCCAAGTTCATATTTTTTACGAAATTTAGTGACAGTCTTCTCTACAAAATAGAGATTCAATTCATTCTGCTTAGGCGTACGTATAGTATTTTTTTCCCCCTTGGCACTACAGCCCCAGTGGGCCTAGGCCTACCTCCATGAACTTCTCCGTTCACTTCGCTTTACTAGATCTTACACATTCGGTAGGACTCCTTGGGCGAGTGATCAGCTCATCGCAAGGCCTCTATCTGTACACAAACACAGAAAAACGTACACAAACATCCATGTCCTGAGTGAGATTCGAACCCACGATCCCGGTTTCCAAGCGAGCGAAGACAGTGCATGCCTTAGACCGCTCGGCTACCGTGACCGGCCGTATAGTAAATTATCCATAGCAATTAAAAAGTAGCATCCAACTTATCGCGAAGTTTCAGTATTAGCTTCCTAATTACTAAATGGGGACCTTGTTCACTGATACATTCAGGAATTGAAAGACAAAAATTTTGTGACCGTAACGCTTTTATGTCTGCTCAGCTTAAAAATCTCCTGAAATGCAATACGCGAAGTATGGCTTCATTTTCTCGCTGTAATGATTAGAGAATATAAAAATTATATACAATATTTGCATGTGAAACGCTCTAGAATGCAAAATATAAACTTAATTTAAGAACTTACTGATATGTAACTTAATGACAGATGCAGATGTTCAGCACTAGAAATAAGCACAGTTGCTTTACTCATCGAATTGATAACGTCATAACATTTGATGAAAGTATAAATTATACCTGCCGGTCACGGTAGCCGAGCGGTCTAAGGCATGCACTGTCTTCGCTCGCTCGGAAGCCGGGATCGTGTGTTCGAATCCTACTCAGGACATCGATGTTTGTGTGCGTTTTTCTGTGTTTGTGTACAGGTAGAGACCTTGCGACGAGCTGATCACCCGCCCAAGGAGTCCTACCGAATGTCTAAGATCTAATAAAGCGAAGTGAAACGGAGAGTTTCATGAAGGTAGGCCTAGGCCCAAACGGGGGCTGTAGCGCCAATGAAAAAAAAATGAATAAATAAATTATACTCGTACAGTTTTCCCAGTACCCTTAATTATGTCTTTTAGATCCAAATACGCTTCCTGGCATTTTTATTCAAACACAGTGTGAATGGAATGTGACTTGTGTTTCCTCCAATGGGCTACACCCGATAGCTCGGTCCTGTAAGCTAACCTTTCGGAGCAACGCCGATAATTTGGGCAATAAAACCACCTCCATTCTAAAACCCCTTTTAAGCAAGTGGACAAGAGGATCGTAAAATTCAGCTTTGTAGCCATTACTGCAGTTTCCAGAGTGTACGTAACGTGCTTGAGGATGTGGGCGTCGTATATATAATACAAACTAGAGGCAGCTGATTTCGCTCCTCCGCCTTAAATATTTTACAAGTCAAATGGTTATGCTGGGTCTTCGGCGGTCTTCGGCGGTACTAGATTGGAGGGAAAGGCAGGCGCTTAGGGTAGAGTTGATCTTAGAACTCCGGCGTTCTGATCATTTGTCGTTAGACCAAATTAGTAAAGTAGTGTGAGTCGTAACTCTTAAACAAACCGCATTGTACAACAGGCCGAGAATATACCTCATTCCCTAAGTTCTTAGCCATTTTCGAATCAGTTTTCCTCGCATTCGTCTTTTCCACTGATTTCTCCCCATTCCTTCTTCTTCTTCTTCTTCTTCTTCTTCTTCCGTATGCACTTATGTAGTGGTCAATATTAATTCTTCTTGGTATGTCAGAGTTTCGAAGTTCAAATCTCTGTCCGGAAACACATTATCTTGACTTTGCATGGTTTTCCTCTGTATCTCCATGCAAGTTGTGATATAATGCCTTACGGTAAGCCACATTATCTTCCTTCCATGCCTTTTCCAATTCGTTATTTGCAGTCATCCTCTAATTTGCTGAGAAAACATTATTAAATAAATTGAGAAAATCAGTGTTGTCAACTTGTAGACCTGCCAGAGTGACAGCAAATAAGACAAAATAAGACGCAGTATATACACAATTACAACAAGAATAACGACTCCCATAGCGGATGAATGACATTACACACGAGTTTGTTACACGAGATGTAAGATGATAGATCTTAACAAATTTTAATATATAAATTTTATTATTGAACAACGACAAACACACATTTTATATCATTTTATAAATGGACACTTGATGGCAGGCAGTGCAATGGTTTAACGTGATTGATACACCTGAGGATGGCAGAATGATGCCGAAACATGTAGTGTGAAGTGACAAGTGAAATTGTATGCACTAAAAGACGGTGAATTATAGTGAAGATGAAACTAAATTCTATGTCGTTAATTTTGTTAAAAATCACACACAAATTCTAAAAATAGTTAAATTACCAGCCGAGGTTATTCGATTGTTTTCTTGAACTACGTTTGAATTTGGATATCATTCCTTAGGCGGCCCATACACGTACGAGTCTGCCTCGCGAATCCGGCTCGGCGAGGAGCCGGGCTCGGATCAATTTCACCACACACGTATGAGCGTGGCGACCCACACATGGACGAGTTTGGCTCATTGGAACCCGAGCCGAGTCGGACTCGCGAGCCAGACTCGTACGTGTGTGGGCCCCATAAGGGTCCATCCCCTGCAACGTACGTATGACGTCAATATGCCATGGACATATAATTAACGTCGCTACCGCATAGAACTTGGCTCTTTCCTGACTATCCCTGCATGACGGCATGTCTCCCTCAACAGTATGCCTCCCGTATGTTGTTTCCCAACATTAATAAGTATCTTGCAGAGTAAAGGCCATAAACAATAGAAGACTCACTAATAACATGTTTTGTTTGGCCTATTCATTTTATAGCTCTGCCAGTTTCCTTTTCGTTGATTGGTAACTATTTGGAAGTTCCTTCCCGGATAACTATCAATTCTTGGAATAGTTGTTCCATTGTTGATTGAACTTACTGCCTGTTATCTGAAACCTAATCGAGCGGTGAGGTGAACTAGTCATGACAGTCACGGATATATATCCCTGCCTTCTGAACAGCCTATGGAAGGAAAGCTTCTACAGCGTGTAATCTTTTGCTCACATTAGAATTATACTGATTTAATATAAGGGATAAAATAATTTAAATTTCAGAAATTTTTTAATTATATAGGATGTCCCAGGAGGAATGGTCAGTATTCTGGGGGTCATAGTATCGGCCTTTCTAAGCAAAGAAGTTTACGTGTACATGTATCCTATTCCGAAAGGTTTCAAAGATAGAGAGCTATTTCACTGTACAGTAGTACGTCAAGGCGCACTCACACAAGCAACACGCCCATGTCCTCACACGAGTTGCAAAGTGCACTGATGTTGACGGTGGAATTTTCGAAAATGCATTATATTAAGTAAACTGTACCAGCATTGTCACTTAACAATAAATACCGGTATTAGAAGCAGTACGTAATATCTCTTTCTTATTTTTGAACCGTACAGTGAAATAGCTATACGGAAACCGTTCGGAATAGGACTCATGTATATACGTATACAATATTTTGCTTAGAATGACCGGTACTATGAGATCCCAGAATATTGACCGTTCCTCCAGGGACAACCTGTAGTTTATTTTCTTTTAGTTTCTTGGGATTAGGCGAGACTGAGTCACGTCGGCCACTAATTGGCCTATTGTACCAGCCCCGGATGATAGATAATGATGAATGTGGAGCAGTTGGTGGGATGAGAATTGGCAGGGGACACCGAGATACTCGAATAAAACCTGCCGCAGTGCCACTTTGTCTACCACAAATCCCACATAACCTGACCTGGGCTCGAACCCGGGCCGCCGCGGTAGGAAGCCGGCGACTAACCGCCTGAGCTTTGGCACGGCGGCGGGACACTCTGTATAGTATCATTAAGAGTACACGTACGATATGTTTCCATACGTCACGCCTGCTTCAGTGGAATTTGCCTCTCGAACACCGACCATGAACTGCATCATCTCGAGCTCTGACACGGACATTAAGCTGACTCCAAATTTCAAACATCCTTTCTCATTTCGTTTCACGCTTTGGGTTTATACGGGAATTTATAATACCTCCAAGTTACGTCTGCTGGCCAGAGTTAGGGAAACGTGTAAGCGCATGCCATCCCTACTTAGGCCTGACAGGAAAGCAGACGTGAGACGGTAAGAGTCCATGGTTAGTGCCTCAAATAGTAAGTGTCTTCAGGTTTTCTTGAACGTGTAAGCGCATGCCATCCCTACTTAGGCCTGACAGAAAAGCAGACGTGAGACTGTAAGTGTGCATGGTTAGTGCTTCAAATAGCAAGTGTCTTTAAGGTTTTCTTGAACGTGTAAGCATGCTGAAGGCAAATTTAGCCTAATTAAAGACGCTTATCGCATAAAATTTCGTTAAATCTAAAATTATCAAGTCTTCTAGCGGTGTTTTGTAGAAGATCACATCGTTAGATGCTACAAAACACGGTCTTGTTATTAAAGAATTCTTGATTGTGATACTTGGCCGGCCTAATATGTGTTGGAAAACAAATTTCCCATCTGCCAGAACAGTCAATTACCACTTTGATGACCGGAACCACAGGTGGTCATCTTAAACAGGTTTTCACTGTTATTCTTCTTTCTACCTTGTAGAGTCGACTTGTTTTAACCCTGATGCCGGGTCACTGGGGTCACAGAATACAGAGCCGCGCTAAACCCGCCCCCCCCCATGCACGCCCCCTTCCCCTGACCCTCTTCTTCCTGAGCACAACCAGCAAGTCCCGGGCCAGTCTGCCAACCCCCTTCCTTGCCAGCGAACGTGGCCAATAATTAGAGATCTCTTCTCTGCCGCATCCACCGACGAGGAAAACGCTGTCGGGCTATACAACCAAAGCACGGAGAAGCGAAGCAATGCGGCACTGTGTGAAAAGCAATGCCCTTGCTTCAGCATCCACGACCATGTTACAACAGGAGCCACAACAATGAAGACGATAGTGACTGTGCTCACAATGATGGTAATGATGAGGTCGAATTTCCCCGAAGGAATTTTGCCACACAGCTGGCCCGTATTTGCGCGCCCTCATGTATGTGTGTGAAGGGTGAGGGTGAGTGGTGAGCGGGTTTGAGTATTCCAAGTACCCTAAGAGCTATACCAGCGGTAGTGTAGCTACTGGCAGGGCCTCCCTTACTGGACAGGTCAAAGGGTGCGCATCAGACGAAGAGAGACACCAAAAACCAAAAACTGATGCCGGAAGAAGCGTCATCAGCAGCGACTTGAAGCACAGAGCAAATGATGCTCGAGATGGTTCAAGTTCGTACAGCAACAGGCGTGACCCGAGTGGTTTGAACGGTTGTTGTACTGCGATGTGGAAAGCAAATGGAAAAACTACCACATTATCACTTTTCCTGGTTAGTCTCTTTCCAAAAATAGAGATACCATGTATGCGACCAGAAGACGAGGAAAAAGACGTAAGAAGATGCTGGATGACCTTGGGGACAGAAGAGGATATTCTCATTTGAAGGAGAAAGCTCTAGATCTCATTAAGTGGAGGAACTGTTTTGGAAGAGACTGTGGACCTGTCGTATGACAGATTACTGATGAAAAATATATGTGTGTGTCTGTGTGTGTGCGTGCGCGTGTGTGAGATGTTGGATGCTAGGAATGCACGCATCTTGAGCGTAAGAAACAAGAAGATGGTGGTAGAAGTGGCGGAGTAGGGAGAGCATGAAGGGTAGAGGGGGAAAGTAAGAGATAGGTAAAGGTGGGGGAGAGAAGAAGAGTAAGATGATCGTGCGGTAGTAGTAAAGCAGATCCCTGAAGGAGATGAAGAAAGCTGGTCGATCAGTTTGGATTGTGGCTTGCTGGAATCCTCTGTCGAGTGCCTTCTTTTGGTGCTGTGGACTCGACGCGTGTGAAGGGTGCTAGTGGTGGTGATGAAAGTGTGCGACTTTTATTCAAATATCCGTCAGGTAAGCGAGTGAGTGACAGTCACATTCTGCCTCCTTCTCTTCTGGTCACACGCGTGCACACACACAGCTGGGCCCCGCCTCCTGCCCCTGCCGGACACCTCTCAGCCCCCTTGCGATTTACGTTCCTGAACAATCAACAATTCTGTGTCATTCTTCATTCTGACTTGAACTGACTATTCTGCCCCTGGTCTTAAAGACTCTTCCAATTTACGAGCCAATTACGGTTCATTTCATTCTTAATAATATTCACGCACCGGTAGTTCATAACGTAACGATTGTATTTTCATAGTTTATCAAAGTATGACAAAGCGATGTTTTAACTGACACGGAAAAAGCTGTCCGTGTGTTTCACTAACTAAGCACTACGCCACGAAAACGTATGGGGGAGTGGATATATAGATCCACATTTCCTTGACCTCAGCATTAGCTGGAGGTGAGTGGTCAGCTTCACGCCCCGGCCGCTTTACCCCAGGGGAAAGAGCCCCCGTTACCCATTGGATAGGAGGTTGGGTGTACCTCAGAGCCAGTCTGAACGACGTGGAGAAGAGAAAATTCTTGACCCTACTGGGCCTCAAACTCCGACCCCTCGGTTGTCCAGCCCGTAGCAAGTCGCTATCCCGGCTCCAAACAGACACGGAATTGTAGAGAAATATTGCTGATGTAAACATGGGTAAATAGAATGCATGAGCAAGGGAAATTTCCTTACTGAATATATCACAGCTCCTGCAAGATGATTTTTCCCCTACAAAATGGAACGTTTTAATTAGAAGAGGGTATGAAAATTCCATCACTTCGCAACTGCGAGCAATATATCTTCCGCTTTATTTCCGATATTATCGGTGTGAGCTCTTGGTATGGTGAGCCCTCATTATTTACAGTCTCGACTTTTAATCAATTGTCTTTAAGGGCTTTCTCAGTGTTTTTGTAAAATTATTCAGAACGTAAGAGTACTTTGACGTCATTATTAATATTCATTAAAGCGAGATGTGCATTTACTTTCAAGTCTTCTCGTTAATTTTAAGCAGTCTAGATACCACGTGTTTCTACTCCAATTATAAACAGCCGTTAACAAGGTCATTTTAATGACTTCTTCCGTTTATTTTGTTGTTGAGGTGATAATATTCATGTCATTGGATTTTAAAGAGTGCGTTCTGTTGTTTTACACAGTGAGTGGAGTTTATCTTGGAATTCCTTCACAGAAAGGAAGGCGAACAGACACCGTAGTTACATTTCAGGTAACATTTTTTTATCTCAAACCATCTTCAACCATTTGTTATTAAATTTGACTGAGTCCTTCAACACACCGAGGCTATTAGCAATGCGACCCTCGTTCGTTCTATGACAACAAGGTAAAAAGTGCTTAATATTTTGCTATTAACACAGCGTTTAGTTAATAAAGTGTGCTAGAATGTAAATGACAATGTTTATTATATTCTTAAAGTCCTACATACAGTGCCAAAGTTTGTTTCCTAATGTTCTGACTAACAGAACATCGCCTTTAAAATTTGGAAACGTTTAGATTGTTCAAAGTGAAATTTTAATCGCGTCTATACTGCTTGAAAAAAGCCATAGAATTTATTCACACAACGAAGTAGCCGGAGAGTAATAGCTTAATAAAATACTGAAGTATAGAAATTCGTCTTCAGTTGATAAGTTGGCATTATACTGACAGTTTTTTATTATTTTTAATTAAGATTCATTGTAACAGTTTGCATCGAACCTGGAGCCTTAGCTAACGCCCTGACCATCTGTGCGGGGGAAGATTTTTCTTTTCTCCACAGCGTCCAGACGGTCCACCCAGCCTCCTCTCCAATGGGTACCGGGGCTTTTTCCCCCCCGTGCCGAGGTCAAGAATGGTGGAACTATACCTCCACTCCCCCATATGTCTTCAGGGCATAGTACCATTTGACGCCACATTGGCTTTACTGCTGCTTCTGAGGCTGTGCTTGAGAGCCGTAGGGCCACCGGTACATTCGGGGCAACTGCAAACCGACACGGCCGGCGAAGTCATATGTGTGTGACGTGACAAAGCATTCCAAATTATCATGTTTCATTGAAGGATCATAGGTTCTGTTGTATTAGATTTTGGTGAAAAAATGCTTTTGCTTCTCAAAGAAACTGGTGTATCGTACATTCTGGTTTGTTTGTTAGTTGATTGAATCATACTATTAGTTCGGGAAGACGTACTGTAGTGTATTGTCCAAAATTATTCAGAGGTTATGTTTTAAGTGTTCAGAAACAAAAGCTCTTCTGACCCCCAAAGAATTTGTATTCAGAGCTCACACTTTCTTACGTTGCAGGTTATAACTCCGGATAAGGTCTTTTGACCATTTTGGTCATAGCCCTCCTGGCTATGGTAAAGCTCAGAATCAGCACCTTTTTTGGGGGGCAAAGAGTGGGCGGGGTTTCCATTTTACCCCCCAGTGACAGAACTGTAATTAAGATGATGATAATGGTTGAAAGAGGAGATATACTGCCTAAAGTCTGACTCGAACCGTGGTGGACTGTTACCACATACACAAAGTTCTGACTTTGTATCGAATGCAAGACCTTTAGAATGAACGATGTAAAACACAAGAATGTTCGTAAGGGCCAACAGCAATGAAATGTGACGTAGTTGAACACGGAGGGACACCTACGTACAAGGCTCAGTTTTTCTTCCCATAGTTTTGTTATGGAGCATCGAAACCTTATAGCCTTGTGTTACCTCCTAGTCCTAAGATATTTACAAAATCGCGCTGCTGAGAAATGCTGGTAAGTTTTGTGATGCTAACCCCACAGTGCCGTTTGTACTAGGCCTACAGTGTTTATGAAGGTCAAGTCTAGTTGTTACTAAATTGTAGGTTATCATTCTCCAGGAACCCAAATTCAACTTGATGATATCCGACAAACGTACTCAACTGCAAAATGTGTTCTAACCAGTGAGCCACGGTTCTCGGTCTGCCGGCAATCAAACGGAGGGCAAATAACCTGAGTTTTTCTCGCTGTCCTTGGTTACTCCCTGAGAGGCTCTGTACCGCTCTGTACCGGTATGTTGCCGGGTTTCAAGGGAAGGAGGGGTAGATTTACTGGCGGGATTGTCTCTTCCACTTACTCGGCGGTCCAAGCACTCTGTCTTAACCGTCTTAACGGTCTTAACGGTCATAACGAAGAATGTACCCTCTCGTTGCGCATCATTCATGGAAATTTCTCAGAGGGAAGAAACTGTCTGTATTCAGAATTACTGGGGTTTCAGGAGTTGCCCATCGTCCGGTATTCTGAAAACTAGAAAACACAACGTTTCGGGAACTGGATCTGTTTCCGTCCTCAGGTCAGGAGGGAGACACCTCTGTTCCTAAGGGACCCAACGGAGTAGGTATCTTCCCCCCAAACTGAGGACGGAAACAGATCCAGTTCCCGAAACGTTGTGTTTTCTAGTTTTCAGAATACCGGACGACAGACAAAGCCCGAAATGTCAGAAATTATGAATGTTATACACCATCGTCAGAAAACTTTAGAATCTGCTATCTTTATTATTTGTAGGATTTGAGGTTTTCACAGCGGTGGTTATGAAGAATGCTGCCTTCTGGGATATAATGTCGTGTAGTCCGTTGAACGTCAACCGACGTTTCGGAGGAACATATCGCCTCCATCTTCAGGTTCGAAGAATAAGCCGAGCAAGATACTAACGTGAAATCATTATCACTGTAAACTATATCGTATTCATATTCAGTGCATTCTTACATCGCTGAATAGTTATTTGTATTAATGTTAATATTGTTCTCCAACAACTCACCGCACTGGCCTAACAACTTCAAGTTAAGCCGCCGGTTACTGATTTCTTTAACATGTATTGAATAACGCCGTGAGTTCATGCATTCATTTTTTCATTCATCAATGGCTCTGCAGCCCTTCGTTGGGCCCTGGCCTTTTCTTCAGTTTCGGAATCTACTTTTTGTTACCCAGACGGTACGACTCCTTAGACGAGTGATCAGCCAGCCGCAAGGCCGCTACCTACACACAGGACAACACAAAAGCAGAATAAAACATATACAGATATCCATGCCTTGAATGGGATTCAAACCCACGGTCCCAGCGTTCGAGCGAGCGAAGAGAGTTCATGCCTTAGACCGCGCGGCATAACGCCGTGAGTAACTTAGAGTAGAAGGCAGGATAATTAATGAATAGTAAATTGGGAGGGATGCAAGGAGACGGCCGTGGGCTAATTTGAGGTAATACCCCGGCACTCACCTGGAGGGACAGAGGAAAACCACAAAGTCCTCAGTCAGGATAGCCAATGCTCCGGTCGAGATCGGAACTCGAATACAATTCAGAAGCGTTACCGCTGAGCTAACTTGCCCGGTGCCCAGTTGCAGGAGGACGCATGGTTTTTGGAAGAGATCGATTCTTCCTACTTCCTACCACGTGGGCTTATTTTACATCTCCTAATCATGCAGAGCATACGAGTCGTGATGGTTATAGTTTTAAAGCTTAACTTTTGCTTTATCTGACAACAAACGGTCACTTTTCCGCTTGTCTGCTGTTGCTTAATGTTGTGAAATGCTTGTAGTACAGTTGGATGGTGTGGAATCTTTCTTCGAGAGGCCATTGGTGGGGGGTACTTCGCAACGCTCCCTGATACCTTTACTGGAGTTTGAAATCTCCCCTGTCCGATTTTACCCGTTTTATTTTTCTTAAGTTCTCAGGATGAGACCGCCTCTGTGGTCTAGTGGTCAGAGTTCCTAGCTACAGAGCAAGAGGTCCGGTTTCGATTCCCGGGGCTACCTGATTTTCTGAGGAGTGGTGGGTCTGGAATAGGGTCCACTCAGCCTCGTGAGGATAATTGAGGAGCTATTTCAAGGAAATAGCGACTCCGGTCTAGAAAACCGAGATTAACGGCCGTGGGGATTCGTTGCTCTGACCAAGCAACATCCTCTATCCGCTAAAGCTGGCACTAACTTCGCCGACAAGCGGCGGTCGCTCGGTCGGTATAGTTCGCTTGCGGACTCCAGGCCACGGAATATATATTTTTTTCGTTCTCAGGATGATCACGTCGCCAACAATATAGTTCAATAAAATGCAGTTTCCACATTCTTAGTGCACTGTACGGATGCTATGCGCAATAATATGGAAGACGAATTGAAGTAAAACACATGTCTAAAATATGAAACAACTAGAAGAACCAAATCTTGATAAGGTACCGTGTTCTCGAACATCGCCTATAGCACGGTTCCAATTTTCAGCTATTTTACTGTCTACATTCCAGGGAATCCAAGTCTGTAGAACGTCTCTGCAATTTTACGAGTAATAAAGCGGACACAAAATTTCATCTTATTACATTTACCATTATTGAATAACGACCAACGAATCCAGGAAAGCAAGCTCCAGAAATTCGAGTGTAGATTCCCTTACGCCTGCATGCAGTATATGTATTCACAACCAGAAACACTATTGTTAAATTAATATTTTACTGTGAAACACGTGTCTTTTTGTCAGCCAATTTCGAATTTTAAAGTATTTCGTTACAAGCATCTTCTGCCTTGCACGGAATTTACGTCAAGGGGTCTGTCCCAATATCTTCCTTGTGTTCCTCGAGTCCCGGTCATCTTCGTCGTTTAATTTTGTTACGATAAATTGGTTTAGGTTTGATTTGTTTCGATTGAAATACTTCAAAGTAAGGTCTCATTCGGCCTCGCCATAATTCAAGCGGTTAGTCGCTGGCTTCCCACCGCAGTAGTCCGGGTTCGATCCCGGGTCTGGTCAAGTGGGATTTGTGGTGGACAAAGTGGTGCTGGGCCGGTCACGGTAGCCGAGCGGTCTAAGGCATGTACTGTCTTCGCTCGCTTGGAAACCGGGATCGTGGGTTCGAATCCCACTCAGGGCATGGATGTCTTGAGTGTGTGTGTGTGTGTGTGTGTGTGTGTGTGTACGTTTTTCTGTGTTTGTGTACAGGTAGAGGCCTTGCGACGAGCTCATCACCCGCCCAAGGAGTCCTACCGAATGTGTAACATCTAGAAAAACCGAAGTGAACGGAGAAGTTCATGGAGGTAGGCCTAGGCCCACTGAGGCTGTAGTGCCAAGGAATAAAAATGGAACAAAAATAGAATGTTAGAGAACAATTAATTCATTACAAGATTTAATTAAAAGGTTCATTGTTATTATTCAATATCTGTACTTTTTGACATGTGCGTATGGATTACGCAAGGAGACTATACGTCTTTTGAACTGGCAGTCACATTTTGGCCAGCAAAAAGCGACAAAATGAACGATTTTCGACCTTTGCTGGATTTAGTTACGTATCTCGGGGCTGATATGGAATGTCTGGTGAGTTATACTTGGCTAGGCATCGTCTTTTGTTTATCAGGAATTCTGCATTTCCTTTCGCCGATCATTCGTCATCACCAACACCGCTATCCGGCAGTCAATCTGTCAGTACTGGTATATTGTTATATTTGTTGGAAGCAGTTCAGGTCTCCAGAAATAGAGGAAAAAACTACCGACCAAAAGGCATGAACCGTCTTTGCACGCCCGAAGACCGGGATCATGGATTCGAATCTCACTCGAGGCATGGGTATCTGAGTGGGTTTATTCTGTGTTTGTGTTGTTCTGTGTGTATGTAGCGGCGTTACAAAGGCTGATCCCCCGTCCAAGGAGTCCTACAGACCGTGTATAGGATTAAGAAACTGAAAAAGCGGACAAGGCCCAAAGGGCTGTAAAGCCATAGAGAGAGAGCGAGCGAGAGGAACGAATTCCTGTTCGGTAAACGGACTTTTGGCGTTGTGTGTTGCAGGAGGCGTGAAGCGACGTCACTCCTGGAGCAGCGACTCCGACTTCCAGCTACCAGAGAGGCTGCTGGACGTCGAGGAACAAGAGCCACCTAGCACCTGCTACAGCCAGGAGTTGGTAAGTCTCTATGCAACCTTACACTTTCTCTTCAGAACTAGCCTATAGTGGCAGGTGTGAGATTTACGGTTTTCGTAGCAATGAAGATTTAGACGGCTGTCTTTCGGGTTAGGACACCGTGTAGTCTGCTACGATGTTACCGACGTTTCGGAGGAACATACTGTCTCTGTCTTAAAGATAGTGGGGTGAGACTGAGTCCGCTTGCTACTGCGGCCACTACTGGCCTATTGTACCAGCCCCAGATGATAGATGAAGGTGACTGTGGAGCAATTGGTGGAATGACGATTAGCAGGGGACACCGAAGTGCTCAGAGAAAACCTGCCACAGCGCCACTTTGTCTACCACAAATCCCACTTGACCAGACCCGGGCTTGAACCAGGGCCGCCGCGGTGGGAAGCCGGCGAATAACCGCCTGAGCTATGGCGTGGCCATGTCTTGAGGATAGGCATCTATTCTAAAGATAGAGGCAGCAGATTCCTTCCAAACGTTGTAACCACATACCAGACTGAACGGTGTCGTAATCCAAAAGATCACCGCCCGAATACAGTGCTGTGATTGTACAGCAAGGGCGTGGTTAATCACGGAGTTCGAATTTCACCGATTAAACGGATGCAACACATTTTGACGACTCATTTAATGAAGAAGTGAGCATACGTGTATGCAGTTAAACATTGGTTTGCAGATAGAACTATGGGTAAATCCCAGGACTTAAAGATTTCTTTCACTGTAGTACATTTAGGGCCATTCCCTTATAGTGACCGCTTTGTAAGATTTGAGGTCTTCACGGCGGTGACTATGAAGAATGCCGTCTTCTGGGATGTGGCGCCGTGTAGATCTTGTGTGAACCGACGTTTCGGAGGAACGTGTCACCTCCACCTTCAGGGTAGAAAAATCCGCGAGCGAGAAACCAGCGCGAGCAGCTGGCTGCGTACTCTCTGCAGCGATACTTTCCTCCGAAACGTCGGTTAACACAAGATCTACACGGCGCCATATCCCAGAAAACGTAATTCTTCAGTGACCACTTTATTTACCTGACCTCCCCCCCCACACCCCGGTAGATTTTTTCGTAGGAGAATCTAATTCCCCATTTAAGATGGCGCTTCTCATTTTGACAGGAAAGTACATCCGTAGTGGTCGTGACCCGTGCTTCATGTGCTGGAAATTTGGGTTTTTGGCCCGGAGCTCCTCGCTGAGATTTCGTAACGTTTTCTCAGTGCCTCCAGACAGAAGTACGGATAATTATCTAAAACCGGAAGTGACAACTTAATCTCATTTCATTATTCGTAACTATTACGTCATTTGACTCCAGTAACTTTGTAGTCGATAAAACGATGTTAAATAGAGAGTCAAGTTGTATAACAAAACCTCTACTCCATCCTACATTATTTAAAACGAGTGTCGGATATATTTTCTCATGCAAATTTGATCCGTATAATTTTCTGTCACATTTGCACTTAGTATACATAAAAGCGAAATTTAATAAAGAACGCGATTACAAATATTAGTACAATATTTATATTTAAATAATCTTAATGGATTATTTCAACTGCTTTGTTGTAATGAAGTTAGTGATCTTTCAAGTAATTCTACTACAGTAGGCCATTCAGTGACCGCCGTGCCGAGTGGACCCAGTTGGACTCCACCCCCCAGTAAGCGAATTAAAAACAAAATCTACTACATAAGAAAAATGTCGCATTTATCGTGTATCTTCGGGTTTATATACGAGACATTTAATTATGAGGGATAAGAACATGGACACGTACGTTCCAGCATTTTGAAAAGTCCATTAATATTCATATAATTACACTTAAAGTTCCTAGTAACCCCATGAATAAAGCTTCATAATTAATTCCGAATTAAGGACGTTACGCAAGAAAGGCCTGTGTTGTTCTAAAGCTGCTGTCAAGGTGACCGATGTAAGGAAGCTTAGGAGAATTCTGTTAATGTGCCGACTGAGATGCAGATACAATGTGATATTCTATGACATTAATCTGAAAAGAACAAGAAATGGGAGTATTTCGTAACATGTTGGATTGGACCGGAACCCAAAGCAAGCTTGTATTAGTAACTCCACTGCATGGTATGTTACGCTAACGTTTTCACGGCCAATTTCCTCCTTCAGCCTTATTCTAGTAGAATGAATACAAGGGTCGGAGGGGGTGTTTCCATTTCAAGGCAACTTTGTTATGTAACACAAAAAGGAATGTTTGTATCCGCGTCAGGGAGACTGCTAATAACAGATAGTTATCCACATAATAGGCGCCTAGCGCTGTCGCCCTTTTTCCCACACCCATCACCAGTAGCTCCGAACATAAATGACAGGATGGCCTCTCTACCGATCACGATCGCTTTCTGTCTGAACCTTACAAATTAGCATATCGTCTCTCTTATTGCCAGTTACTAATCACGCAGGAGAAGAGCGCTTCATCAGCGCGGACGTAAAATACAGATCATTTTGTATTTTATTAACGCAGTGGCAAACCTTTACCATATTCACGCACCTGCACATAAAATAATCAAGTTCGTGAAGGGCTCGGCATAAATGACCAAAGTAAATATATTCCCACGGATCACAGTGGCCGCTCGGTCTAAGGCATGCACCGTCTTTGCCCGCTCGAACTCTGGGATCGTTAGTTCGAACCACACTCGAGGCATGGATGTCTGTGTGCGCTTATTCTGTGTTTGTGTTGTCCTGTGTGCATGAAGCGGCCTTGCGACGGGCTGATCCCCAGTCCAAGGAGTCCTACCGACTGTGTATAGGATTAAGAAACTGATAAAGCAGCCAAGGTTCCGAGGGCTGTAGAGCCATAGAGATACTTCCTCTTATCTTTAATCTGCTTCCTGTTCTTAAGACGTGGGGTCAGAGCATAAACATACACGTAAGCTATCTCGGAATCATGTATGAATTAGCTTATTGCTTTATAAGCGTACAATTAAATAAATTGTGACGGTACGAAACTTGGAGGTTGTAGCCGACAGAATTTAATGTGAGAGAATCTGCAGTAAGAAGTAAGGTACGTGTATTTCTAAAACGTAAACATTACTACTGACATGTGGAGCTGGAAGTTTGTGTAGGTAGCAAAACAGACTTTGTGAGTTCCACACAGAACTGTGAATATCATGTTTTAATTAATGGCAGATATGCAACAACGACAGACTGGACTTTTAAATAACAACCTATGAAACAACTTATGACTTAGTATATCTCTGTTTCCTGTTGCTCCCACTTTGGGGCATATGACTTCCGTGAAACCCTTTGCTTCACTTAAGTTTCTTAATCCTAAGGCGGTCGGTAAGACTCCTCGGACGCGGGATCAGCCCGTTGCAAGGCCGCTACCTACATACGACACAAACACAGAAAGAGAAGTAGACAGACATGCATGCCTTGAGTAAGATTCGAACCCACGATCCGAGTGCTCGAGCGGGAGAAGACAGTTCATGCCTGTGATGATCAATGTCTTAGTATAAATGTTTCAAATTTGAGTATTATGTCAGTCCGACATATCCATTTGCAGTGTATGTTACATTGCAATAAGCGCACATGAAGTATTGTCTGGAACCTGAAACATTCCTTGCGTAAACTTACTTGGCAACTATGTCTTTTAAATCACACAGATAAATTCCTCATGTATTATATCACGATTATGAATCACCAACAGAATTAATACACATTATACAATCTTGTTTTTTTTTTTCTGTTTCTTCATTTCTCGAACGAAACATTTTCAGCTGAGTAATCTAATATTGTAGCGTAGAATAAGTTATAAGGACATGGAATAAAGCAACTGTGACCTTTCTTGAGGAATTACACGTGTACTACTGTTTCTCTGCAGCGATTTAGAAAATACGAGAAAGCAGTCTGTTTTTGGATTGAGATTTGACACTGGGGTTTCCGAAATATCAAGCTGGAAACGCTCACCTGTTTGCCATGACGTTTCGGTACCAAGTCATTTATTTCAACATGATTCATTAAATGTACATTCTAATGGGCTCGCCGCACGTTACTGATAGGAATAATTGATTGTGTGACTTTTATGTGAGAAATGTTCGCTTCATGTCGCTGCCTAAGCATCGGGTATTCTGATGTACGGCCCTCAAGACCTTCCCAACCAGTGAGGGTACAGAAACTGCATACAAGTCATGACTGTTTCCTTCTCCTTCGATTCCTGTTCTCCGTTCACAGGCTTTGACTCGTCTTCATCTTTATGTTCCACCGCCTCTGTGGTGTAGTGATTAGAGTTCCTGGCTACAGATTCCCGGCGCTACCAGATGTTCTGAGAAGTAGTGGGTCTGAATGGGGTCCACTCAGCCTCGTGAGGATAACTGAGGAGCTATTTCAAGGAAATAGCTGCTCGGGTCTAGAAAACCGAAATTAACGGCCGTGGGGATTCGTTGCGCTGACCACGACACACCCTCTATCCGCCAAAGTTGGCACTAACTTCGCTGACAAGCGGCGGTCGCTCGGTCGGTATACGCTTGCGGACTCAAGCCACAGAGTTTGTTTGTTTCTTTTTCATCTTTATGTTCTTCTTCCTGCTCCTTTTACGGATTAGACCCTCTGGCCTGTCCCCATTTAGAATTTATCTGTGACTATGTATCTTACAGACAGTTTGTAGGAATCGTTTGACGGGGGATTAGCCCGAAGCAAGACCATCACCTACACAGGAAAGAACAGACACAGAGAAAACACATTCATCCATGCCTTGAGTGAGAGTCGAACCCACGATCACAGTGATCGCGCGGACGAAGACATTCCATTCCTTAGACCGCGAGGCACTGTGATCGGTTAACAACCTAATCTTATCTGATTATTTCCATAAGCAGCATTAACCGATCCGTATTTTCTAATGGAGACACGATGTGTTTTCTGTGCTGTAGAAAGTGAATTTTCAAATATTGTGTAAATAAATTTCAGGGCTCAGAGAGTTAAAACTGGTAAACAACACCTGCTGCGTCGAACGTCAATTATTGCACGCTAATATAAACAGTCCAAAGTACAG